TGCTTAAATACCACTGCTTCTAGACAGCTTTTGATCACTAAGCAGTTTTTTAAATATGGTAATGATACTCCCGTGTGCCCCCACTTTGAGGTTCTCGTACCACTGGGGCAGAGAGAGAGCACCACAGAAGCTGGCCCGCGTGGCCACTGGCATGGAGGCAAGATCAGTACGACTGAGAGAGAACCTAGAGGGGAGTCGAGACCCCTCCTCACCTGCCCACCTCTTCCTGGTTTCGACCCTTCCTTAAGGTAGCCCTTAAACAGACGAAGTCACCATTCGTGTGTGCTCTGGGTCCAGATCTGGACCTGATCATGGCCACAGGGTTGCACGTGACTGAGGACGAGCAAAGAAAATCAAAAGCCTTGGTTTTTAGAGCACCCAAAGCTGGACTGGGGAATCAAGCAAAGCCCAAGGTTCCCCGAAAAGATTGAGCAACATTCCCTACGATTTCCTGAGACATTCCTGGCTATGGCCAGAGCCATGCAAGCTGCCACAGAAAATTCAGAAAAGGTGTCAGGCCTGAATTTTGCCTGCGGCAAAGTACCCATCAAACAGGAGGGGAGCTCAGTTAGTCTCAAGAGAGACTGGGAGACCCCCACGGTGCCTGGCACACAGTTCCTGGCCTATTAGAGAAGCTGTGTGAATGAATGAATAGAAGGGAATAGTCAATGATTCAGTTAAGGAAGCCAGAGAGTATTTGTAATTAAATTTGAGAAGACAACAAGACCCACCAGTGGGGAAGTGAAAACAGAGCTGGCATAAAGAAGGGGCAGAATTTGATGATTTGGAGGCTGGGGGGGGGGGGGGGGTGTAAGAAAAAATAAAAGGAAAACTAAGGAATGGGTCAATGAGAAGCTCAGAGCTGAGGACAGGGCCCTTTCTCACCACACCAGAGGACCCGGGAAAGAGATCAGAAGCTAGTGGGAGGGGCCTGCTTCCTGGGGGACCAGGGACTCAGGGAAGCTGCCAGCTTGGACGGAGGCTCAAGGTGGCTGACAAAGGATTATAAAGAAAATACATTCTTGCCTGGCCTTAAGCAAATCCTTTCACCAGACCCTGATCCTCTGTTCCCTCCCCTGTGAGGATGAAGGGAGATTGTGCGTACAGAGCCCCTGCCCGCCCTCACAGGTGCTCAGCAAATGTTAGTTTGCTGATAAAGAAGTTTCGGTTAGGAATGGTCCAGTCTTAGATGCTGGTCAGAGGCTGAGTAATATTTTGGATCCTAGACCACTGGAGTCTAAAGGGGCTACATGAGTCATGTTTTACCGCCCACCTCCTAAGTTAGAAAATCAGAACTATATACTCTGTATTTGCATCTTTTGTTTATTGAACACCTACTATGTGCCAGGTCTCACGCTAGACACAACACAGAGAGAAAAGCAACAACAAAAACAGACGATCCTTTTGCTCCTTCAGGTAAGAGAGCAGAGCCTTAGAGAAATAGTCCGATCCCTTGATTTCCAGATGCAGAGACACAGATCCATGGTGAAGTGACGAGCCCGGGGCCCCACCCAGCACGGCAGGGCAGGCCAGGGCTGGACCCTGTTCGACAGTGTTCATTCGTCAGCCCACTAAGCCTGTGGGTCAGGCTCCATCTGTGAGGCCTCAAACTCTACTCAGGCTCCCGGACAGTCAGCAGCTGTGCAGCCTCAGGTAAGGCAGGCTAGCTCTCTGAGCCTCAGTGTCACCAGAGGCAATATGCGGCCACTACTAGACTCCCCACGTCACAAGGATGCCACAGGGTTTAAGTCGCAGCGACGCGCGTGAAGATAATTTGTTGTCTGCACATTGTGCTGTGCAAGCAGTGTGGCTCTTCCGGTCACTGGGCGTCTTTCTCTAGGACAAGGCAGCCCTCCGGAGCCACGCTGGGGGGTGCCTACTGTATTCTGGAGCACTTCCTACGTGGCCTGTTTCTGGCAGTTACTAAAGACCTATGGGACAATAACCCTGCCCACAAAGGGCTCACCCTGGTTGGGGAACAGCACAAATGGAGGACACATGGCCACCTCCCATCAGGATCTAACGGGTGACAATGAGCCGGGAATCCTGAAGGAAGCCACAGGGAAGAGGACACTTGAGGCAACCCTGGAGACTAGCTGTGGCTAGGAGGGGGTCGCAGGGAGGGAGAAGACATTTCCGGAAGCCCTGGCAAAGGCACTAAAGAGGAACAGGGTGGCAGAGGGACCGGGAATGGCCAGCCCATAGAACTGCTGGCTCTCCTGACTGCACCCTGGCTCTTGGGGCTAGCAGAAAGGATCGTCAAGAGGAAGAGGAGGCTGTGGGGGAGGCCCCGGCAGGCCCATGGGTCTGAGTGCCCAGCCCACCCGGACCAGTAGCCAGGTTTCCAGGCATCTGTTCCCTAATCGTTCCTGAATATGCTGGAAGCCGCCACTTCAGGGCTCTCAAAAAATTCAGGTCAAATCCTTGGGTGAGGCCCGGGGTCAAGGCTAAAGCTGTGTTAGCCCAGAGGACTGCGGAAGTCAGGAAAACAAGAAGGAGGCAGAGGGGACAGGGAGCACGTCAGAGGACCCTAAAAGAGGAAGTGGCCCAGTCTCAGTTCCGCTCCCAAGGATGGGAAATACCCTCCGTTCTCCCAGCCCTCAGCAGCTGCTCCTGCCTCCCTACCTGAAGCCACCAAACCTGGGGCAGGACCGCCTGGGCCCCGGGCCCCAACCTTTCATGTTTCCCCAAAGTTGCTGAAGTTGCTGAGGCCCTGAGCACATTCAGGGACCTGTACGGGCTGCAGACCCAGGATCCATGCCGAGCAGGGCATTGTCGAGAGTGTTTTTGAGGCTGGACGCCCCAGGAGTTCAGGAATGGGGCCCAGCCTCAGAACTGAAACCCAAGAAGGATGTCAAAGTCAGCCCATCCAAACCTCCTCACCGCTCTCCCACCGCTCTCCCAATAAAGCCCTCAAGGGAGAGAGGGATAGAAAGCCTGTGAAGGCTCTGCCCGACTCTCACCAACTCAGGGATAAGAGAGTTGGGGCCCAGATGAAGACCTCCAAATCTAGAGATTTGGTTTACGAAGTCAGAGCTTGGCTACGCTGAGAGAATGGCCCTCGGATCCCAGCAAGGAGGGAGGGCACAGGGGCTGGTAATGCCTCCTCTCCTTCCTTCCTTCTTTCTCAATCGGCTAGAACCCAAAGCAAGAAAGAAACCATGCCCTGAGGAAGCAAGCACAGGAAGACGAATAATATGACTTCTCTCCTCCTCGCCTATCACTGTCCTGGGCTCCGGCATCGTATTGGCCTTGGTCCTGGGACGTCGGCAGGTTGTTTTCACTCAGGTTTCAGCACTGGCAGGGCCTCTCTCAGGCTCTGCTCTGTCCACAGCTGCCCCAGGAGCTCAGTCTCTCTGGATTGAACGACTCTGCATTAAAGGCCTACTAAGAAGACACCCCAGGGCAGCCTCCACCTCAGGTCGAGCAGGGCACAGACCAGAGGAACAAGTAACGACTCCCAAGGCAGACAGCTCTACCGTCCATCAGCCTACACTTGGTTCGTGACTTCCCTCGCGCATTAGCTGGGTTTTTTGTTTGTTTGTTTTTTTTTTAGCCTCGCCTGGTTTCCTCCCCGACTCCTACCATTTCTGGTCTGCCCTCCCCATCACAGGTCAAGCCTTGCACAGGAAATGCAGAACACAGGGAGAGTTCTCCACCGCCAACGCATGCCCACCCATTGCAGGAGCCTAGAAAATCAAGTAAGATCATGTTTCTAGACTATTTTAAGTAGCGACCTCCAAATTATTTGGGAGGCACGGCGGCTGGTCAGCAGCAGGGAAAACAGACCCAGGTGGCGGACAGGGGCATGGGAGGGTTGAAAAGCACCAGAACCGAGCACAGAGCGGGGAAGGGCAGGGCAAAGGCCAAGCTCAGCCTTCAGCTCTTAGAGGAAGTTGGTTTATGGTAGGAAGGTTAAAAACAGTATCTGGAATCACCTCCACTCCCACATGACTTTGCCTATTGAAGATCTGACTGGTTTTCCGGCCTCTGGAGTCAGCCCTTTAAGGGGAAGTGACTGGGGACGCCCCATGCACAGCACCCTTCTGGGTCTGCAGGCCCTGGTCACACAGGGCTGAACTGGGAGGCCTTTGTTCTCCAGGACACCTGGAACCCCTCCACAGGCTCAGGAACCCCAGGGACACCTAGGAAGGAGTCTTTACTCTTAGGCAATGGCTGCCATTTTGGTTTATATGAGAAAGCCACTGCTACTCTACCAGACTGTCTCCAGAGCCCAGACCCCTCTTGGGGGTTCTCCCAGGTGCACCCAGAGTGACTCCTCACTGTCCACAGCAAGGGACCAGGGCGGACCCTGAAGACCTAGGAGGGTGAAAGTAGCCCGGGGACCCCGGAGGAGCAGGTGCTGAGCCAGGAGCCTCCTCCTGCAGAAAAAGCAAAGGGAGAGCAACAAAGAGATGAGGCTTGGAAACAATTCCTCTAAACCACTGCATCAGGCGAGGTTTTTCCCAGGCAGGAAGAGAAGCTGAGAGAAAAAGTGGGGGAGGGTCCATGAGGAACTACTCGAGGGAGAAGGTGGATGGGAAAAAGCAACTGCGATGTGGAGGGGGAGGGGCTTGAAGGCAGGCGGAGGGAAGATGTGACCCAAGGGCCAGCCAGCTACGAAGCAGAGATGGCTCCTAGGCATTCAGTTCAGAAATGACACTCTGGAGCGATGCTTCTTGGAAAGAGTGACCATCTAGAACCTCTGGCTCAGAGCAAAGAGTTGAGATAGAAAGCCTACTCTAGAAGCTGCCATCTGATTAGAAACAGAACCTCCCCAGGAAGGGAAGGCAGGACACGGGTTGAATGCACAGGTGGAAAGGAGTTGTCTGGTGTTGGCAGGTGGTGGGGACAGTGTGACGCTAGGCCTCGGTTCCTGAGGTCACCTCCCAGAGACCCCACCCCTCAAGAAGTGGGGAGGGATGAAGAGAATCACCTCTTGATTTCCGAGCAGTGCTTGGGTGTCTCGACCATCTGTGGACCTGACCAGGACAGGAGATTCACCCAGGAGCTCGCCAACCTTCCACTCGCCTCTCCAGGGCTCCAGAGGCTGACACTCCCCCATCAGACTAGCCTGTCGGAGAACTTCACGTAGCCGCCATCTGAACTGCTGACGTGGCCACTGATGGTGAAGGGTGGACCCGCCTCCGGCTCCTTCAGGTTCCTAAGAAAGATGATCCCATCGGGTTTGGGGGGCTGAGAAGCTGATCTCTCCTTGGGACCACAACTCCCTAGACCAGCGCATGGGAAGAACTTTCTGGCAGTGACTCCCAGACTGACTTGTGTTCCAGAACAGGAGTAGGACCATTACTTGGGGCCAGAGGAGGAGGAGGCCTGCCCTGTGGCAGAGAGTGGACAAGACGGCTCGGGAGGACTTTCTGACCCCCACTCCCTAAATCCCTGGTGGTCTTCATTTGTTCCTTTCCTTTGACGTCACACTGTGCCCGAGGTTATCTGATTTGTAGTCAGGCCTGTGTCCACCACCAGCAGTGAAATGGCTGAAGACAAGAGACCACACTCACTGTACCCCTAGACACTAACTCCACAGCCCCTGTGACAATAGATCCTTCCTGAATAAATGATGAGTGAATGAAGGAATGGATGACTGGTCCCTGCCGGGGGGGGGGGGGGGGGGAGGGGTAAATACTAAGAGGGTCACCATCAGCATGGTCTTACATAATCCGGTCCAAGTTCAAGTTTTCATTCGTGACACTTTGTAAACAGACCCTGGCTCCTTCCTTTTCCCTGGTGTGCTTAGGGGGATGGGGAAGGGACAAGGAAGAGAAACCATAAGTTTTGGCTCCGTACCTAACCCCACCCCTGCCGTGGATCTACTTACCAGATCTGATACAAGTTGAAGACAAAATTAGGCCCTAGGAAGACAGTCAGAAAAGAGAGAGTTAGTACCTCCAGGGAGACCTGCCCATCAGCTGTCTGAGAACATCTGGTGCTCCCTCACCCCATCTGGGAGGAGGGGGGCGGCTGGGCTGGACCTCAGGATGCTGTGGGAAGGCCCCACGCTGCTTCACTGTCTACTGCCTGCCCCACGCCCACTGGTGCACCCCATCTGCCCAGACAGAACCACCAGTTTTGGGGGGCAGATCCTGCCGCTAGGCATCCCCCCCCCTCCATTACCGGTACTGATTACCCTGGGAAAGAGACAGTCCTAGCTTAGAGTCCAAAAGGAGGAGAGCTGGGCTTGAACCTGGACTACGCCTGTCTCTAACCCTGTGACTTCGGCCCTCCAGCCTCGTCTATAAAAACCAGAGACTAAGAATCCCATCCTTACATGGAATTTTAAAGAAAGTCGTATTGGGCGAAAGCGCGTTGGCACATAGCAGGTGCCCAACAAACATTTTTGGACGCTGTGGGCATCCACTGCAGACCTGAGAAATGTTCTCTCCCTCTGGGGATTCCCGCATGCCCTGCCAACTCTCCCTGGTCCTGTGGGAGGCACAGGTGTGGCTCAGAGCTGGGAGTCCCGCAGCAAATTCCAGGAGACTCCCAGGGAAGCTGAAGCAAACTCGGGAGGGGGGTGCCCAGGACCCACGGGCAGGGGAAAAGAGACACAAGGAGCCCGAGTGGGGCCCCTGGCCTCGGGCCCCACACGGGCCTTGGGGATGGACTCCTGTGGGCTCTGAGGGAAAAGAAAGGCAGCTACCAGCTGGGTAGGAGGAGCCCTCACTCCCTCAATAAAAGCCCAGTACCCCACACCCCACTCCTCAAGCACTCAGCCACTCCCACTCAAGTCTTCAACTACTGCAGCCACCACAGGAAATATCTTTGCATGATGCCACGCTGAAGGGTGTGCAGCCGCACCCGAGGTTGCCCACTGCGACAGGAGAGGAGGGGCTGGGATGGCAGGGTCCGGCGCTCACTCACCCTCCCAGCAGTACCCACGCTGGTACCACTTGGCCAGGCTGTAGCCCAGGACGGACACGAGCAGCAGCGAGAGCCCCACGCCAAGGATCAGGCCCAGGGTGCTGATGGAGTCCTCACCTGCAGAGACACACACGGCACCCTTGGTCGGCTGCCCAGAGCCCTCTCACAGTCCCCCACCCCATGTCCCAAGTCTCCTCCCCTCCCTCCCCACTGCCCCCTAGGAGTCTTGACCTGAGCTAGCTAGATGAGCCAAGTCATACTGATACTGGAGACTGATACAGAGTCTGATACTGGAGATTTTGAGAGTCAGCCTGTTTACCCAAAGGACCAGCCCTTGACAACAGAGATAGTATGGAGCTGGGAGGGCCTCTTGAAGCCACAGGCCTTCTGCTTGTTGGAAAAGGCACTGCTGTTTGCGGGTAGAGGCCAGGAGGTCTCTGTTCAGCCTCACTGGGTGGTGGAGAAGGAGAGCCCAGAGACCTCAAGACCTTCGGTACCCTCCCTGCAAAGCCTGTGGCCCCAATGGGAGGGTGTTTACTTTTAAACTGTGTGCTGCTTATACTTATCGCTTCTTCTTCCCTTTTTGTGGTACAAGCTAAATTTATGTTTTATTTGTAAGGCCAAACCCAAGGGAGAAAGGGAAGAAGGAGGGAAGGTGGAGGGAGGGGGGGAAGGGGAAGCAGGGAGCGGGGGCGGGAGGGGGGAGGAGGGAAGAAGGACTGGACACCTCCCGGGAAATGACGTGGGCCTGAAGCAGAGAGGGACGCCAGCTTTCCAGGAAGAGGCTGACAACAGGAGCACCACGGAGAGACCCGTCTGCCCGGCCAGGGAGGGAAGAGAAAGGCCAGCGCCATTCTTGCTGGATGAGTGCCAGGAGCGTGGAAGAATCAACCGACCCCCCATCTCCATGGCCCAGCGTCCCGAGGCTCCGGTGGGGGGAGAGGGGCGGGGTGCCAAGGGGCCAGGAGGTTAGTGGCTAAGCACAGCCTTCTGCACAGCAGGCTTGCTTCCGAAGCCCAGGTCCGTTATTTGCCAAATGTGGGACCTGAGCAAATCCCTTTCCCTCACTAGACTTCAACTTGCCTTTACGGGGAAAAAAAAAAAAA